AAATTTCGATCAAAATTTAGTTAATATATATCTTTTTACTCATATTGATAAATACATGAGTAAAATTATAATTTATAATACTTTTCATATATAAGCTTAGAGAAAGACATTGTTAGTTGACTTAATTTTGGACATAGGATAATAACTAAGAAAAGTGTTTTAAATACTTATAATTAAATAAAAGAAAAATATTATTTCAAAATTTTAATCTTATAATCAAAAGAAATTGTAGTAAATACCTTTTAAGTTTTAACCGTCTAATTGAAGAGGAGTGATTCCATTGTAGTGGATTCTTATATTTCTTTTTTTCCTTTATATGTTTAGTTTCATTTATTTTTTACTGTTTTATTCTTAATGAAGGAAATTTTTTGAAAACAAATATGTCATATATCTGATGAAAGAAACAAACCTACTACTATTAGAATCACATATATTGTATTTAAAAATGAAAATGTTTTTATATACCATTCATCTAGCTCTAATTTTAATAACAAAATTATATAAGAAAGATTTCATGAATATTTTTAACTATTTTTTATGCATAGACATGAAAAGTTTTATCATATTTGTTTCAAAAAATTTGTACTTTAGAAATATTTTTGAAATTGATTAATTTACCGCGCGAAGCGCGGATATGTTTCCTAGTTTTATGATTAAAGGTAAAAAAAATTGTATTCATTCATAACAAATCCTTAAGCAAGCTTTTTAATTACGAACTATGCCAAACTCATAACACTTAATCCAATAGCTTTAGAAATTCTGATATGATTTTCACTTCAGACAATTTCATTTGCATGGCTAAATCTTCAATAAGCAAAATTATATTTTCTATTCCAACAATTTCAGTGATTTCCAGTTCACAAGTCAAAAGAATTATTTATTCTTTTTGCAAATTTTCTATTTATGTATAATGGATTGTTTGACAACACATTTAACAAGTTTCAATAGGAACAACTTACTATATTAGCTATGAAGTCATCGGGAGATCTTTATCTTTTAATATGAAATATCTCCGCGTAAATTTAAATTTAATCATAATTAAATTTAAAAAAAACAAAAAAAAAAGAAGAAGAAAAAAAACTAACTACATTATCGTCATTGGTTTGATGGCTCCTATTTGAATGTGAGATAATTTTGTTATTGGAATTTTCACTTTAAATGGCTAATCTAACCTCCTTCCTAATCTCCATATTTGATACCTTTTCATTAAAAAAAAAAAACTAATGCTCGATATATAGAAAATGCGATACATAAAATATTCTATGCTATCAAATTTTAGAAAAGAATTGTATTTTAAGGAGTGTAATTTAGACAATTTATACTAATACAAGTATTAATAATTATTATTACGACAACTCGTGATTCATAAAGCACACTGAGATAATTTTATTTAAGTGCGAGATATATATAAACACAAAAAAAAAGACATAAAATAAGGTCATTTTTGAAATTATAACTCACTAGAATTATTTAAGAAGCAATAGAAACTATCTAGAACATGATTTTCTTACCTTAATTTATGTTCTATAGTTGAACGATTGAAAATAACATAAATTCATTTATTTTATTACTAAATCAAACAATTATTTTTTAGTATACTTTGTCAAGCTTGAACGAATCATTCACGTGCAAATTAATTGATTAATTTTAAAATTAAAAAAATAAGTATAATGAATTGTTTATCTAATAATTGATGAGTTTTTATTATTTTAATTCTCATTGCACCGTCAATTGCATGAGTATATTTTTAAAAATTAAGCAAAAACATTGCTTTAAGATACCTTTATATATTTAATTGAGACTGTTTATCGTTTTATTGTTGTCGTTTTGCTTTCAACTTGTTTACTTAATTTTAGAAAATAAAAAGGGGATAATAGTCAATGTGATTGCGAGTTTAAATCTTAATTTTTTTTATTTTAAATAGAGAAATTTTAAGAAATGTTTAATTTTATTTTGATAATTTTAGATTGTGGTGCTTTATAATTAAAAGCGAGAAAGCTCTCTATCGTAATCAACTTCTTTTTGAATCAAGGTCAGGTGTGACCTTGAAAAATATCGATCTTGATTTTAAGTTATTAATAAAGTTTGATTCTAGCCTTGTGATACATGACTCAACATATTTAATTTTTAATTAATTAAAAATATATGTTTTGGATTTCTTAATATGTTAAATTTGGATTATTTTTATAAATATATTATCTTTAAATGTGGAGTAATTAACCGTATATACTAAATGATGAAACGGTTAGTAATTTTGAAAATGTGTGAATATTTATAAGGAAAAAGATTAAAAATGAAGATTTTAAGTAATTAATTTATTGAAAATTAAAAAATACTAGTCAAATATCACAAATTTAAATATTCCAACAATGTAGAAATCAAAACTGCTATTGACTAAAGAAAAGACAATAGATTCATATAATAAATTTACTTAAATATCATATTACAAATTCAACGTAATTCAATATTTTTAACATATAACATAGATATAAATATGTAATATCAATTAAATAATTGCACTTTTAAGTATTTTTTCATTTTAATAGTATGGTGATTTTTGTTCTTAAAACTTAAAATTTTGAACATAGAGGCTTAGGATGTCTTTTGGAACACATATTTATCATAACAATAAAATTTATTTTGTCTTATTTATTAAAGAAAAAAAAGGCACTCATATTAAAGATAAATGAGAATTCGACTTTTTTGTGTTGTTATTGACAAAGTTCACTTATAGTTTGATATGCTTAATGCAAAGAAATTTCTTAATTAAAATTAAAAAACAAAATATTGAATTATAACAAAACAATTCTTACCTTCAAAATTTCAGATATCTTGTTAGCCAACAAATAAAAAACCAAATACTATGATCTAATTCTTATTGGCACTAAAAATGTACTAATTACTAAACTTCACAAAATCGACTTATCAAGTTAAATTTAATATAAAAAATAATTTCCTTTCAGTTGACCTAGATGAAGATGACTACACACAACTATCTCCTTTTTTCATATAATAGAGTAATCAAATCAATCCGATTAGCTCGTTCAATCTTATATCTTATTAACCGACAAACTAAAAACCGCCAATATAATTTTGATCGCCATCAATACCAAAAGTGTAATAAGTAAAAACTCTACCTTTATCTTATTGGGTTTGCTACACTTCCAATAACTAAATTAATACCCATCACTACTATTAATGGAATAATATTTTTTTACTTATATTAGTGTAGTTATTTAAATTCAAGAATTTATTCTTGAATAAAAAGTTTTATTATAATTTATTTTTGGTAAGAGTAAATATTAATAGCAAGTTTTTTTCTCATCACACAAGAGGGTATTTCAAGAAACACCATTGGTGAAACTCCGTTGAAATCTCCGCTCCTTTTATCTACTTTTTTTTCTTACTTTACTCTCTTCAATTTGCAGAAAATTCTCTCTTCATCGCATTATCAATCTTCACTCTGGTTGGCTCCTTTTTCTCTTTTGTTTTTTTCTCAAAAGAGGAAGCATTTCAGTAAAAAGTTACAATTTTTATGTGTTTTTTTGCAAAAAAATGCATGTTTTAGGCTTACAGATGAAGCAATTTTTGTGGGGTTTGCTTGGATTATGGTTTGATTGTGATTTTTAGAGCTAAATCAAATTTGGGGTTTTCTATTTTGACCTTGTTACTCTTTTTATGTTTTTTTTTTTTTTTTGGTTTTGTTGATATCACTGTACAAAAAATGCATGCATTTGGGTTCCAGTTGGAGAAATTGTTGTGGTTTGCTTGGATTTTGGTTTGATTGTGATTTTTGTAGCTAAGTCAAATTTGGGGGTTTCCATTTTGACCTTTTAAGACTTCTTTTTATACATATGCAGAGATTAATTACAGTAAATATTTGTGGTTAGAGCCAACACTCTGTAAAGGAAACAAATTTGGATAGTAAAAATGTGCGGTTTTGATTTGCCTATATGTTACCTATATTTTTAATTAATGGCTATGTTGCTTGGACTCTTCAAACATGCAGCCACACCCGTGTGTCGGATTCTTCAAAAATGCACTACTTTTGGAGGATTCGACAAGCACCTAGTGGCGTTTTTGAAGAGTCCGAGCAACATAGACTAATGGCATGTTTGTGTTTACCACTTGCATGTTACTTCTATTGAATAATGCTGATAGGGGTGTGTGTGTGTATAATCTGGTTACTTTTCCTGGGTTCAGCAGGGATAAAATGAAATCAAAATGGAGTCACTTTAGAAACAATTATTCACAAAGGCAGAAACTTTATTCACATGGTAAAAAGAATTTCTCATAATTTATGTATCTATGGCTGTCACTTTTAAGAAAGGTTAAGAATTTATTGTTTAAAGCATTTGTGTGGTTTGTGGGTAGAGTTATTTTGGAATTTGTGAAGCAAGGTTTGATTTGGTAAATTTGCTGTCTTGAATTATCTCTTGCTAAGGACCCAAAAGGTGTGGCCTAGTGGTCAATGACGTGGGTTGAGAACTATGAAGTATCAATTTCAAATCCTCGCGGAGACAAAAAACACTAGGTGATTTCTTCCCATTTGTTCTAGCCTTGCTTTGGTGGATAGAGTTATCTGGTCGCTGGTACCTGTTGCTGGTGGGAGGGGTGACAGGTATCTAGTAGAATTAGTCAAGGTGCGCTAAAGCTGACCCGGACACCACTATTATAAAAATAAAAGTTCCTTGAGTTACTTGTACTATTAGGTTCAGAGGTCTTATTGTATATGATGAAGGCATGAAGCATTTGATGCTATATGGTTGAAGCCTGAAGGTGTTTCCTGTTGAACTGTACACCAATATGGCTGATGGCCTATTTCATAACGAATCGGGAGTGTCATTTTTTTTTTGATGACCGAGAAATCCATTGTTTCTGATTGGGAACTTCGAGGTTAATTCTGACCCTTTACCCTTATCCGCTTAAATATGGACTCAGTGCAACAACAAGGCTTCAAACACGTGATGTTGACATATGGCACATCCCCTGCTAAACTACCTTTTCCATTGAACCTAGATGTATTGATATTTCAATTTTAGTTTCTCTTAATGTTGTGGATTCTTGTATCAATGTCATAGTTTTTATCATATCCTCAGACAGGATTTATAGCTTCAGAACTCTCTGGATTTTGAACAAAAAATTGAAAGTTTCGTTTGCTTGACACCTTTTCTCTTTCATTTCATTAACTTAAATAGTTCGATTTGTCCGGTTCTTCCGTGCATAGAAATGCGACTTCTCATTCATGTTAAATGTTTGATGATTGGGTTTTATATAGTTTCCAACATATCAAAGAAATCAAAAAGAATAAAAAGGTATTATCTGGATGCATTTATTTCTCTGTCCTTTATTTTTATAAACAGATCAACACATGTTTCGAGGAGAGACCATATCTGAATGTATCATACAGAATGGGTAGTCACTCTTTTCATTTTGGTAATTCTTTCCTAGTCAATGCATTGGTTACTGATAAGTCTCGTATCTACCTAAGGATAGGAGTAATTGCTTTTATCTAATATCTACACTGACAATTTATTGCACATTTGATGCATTAGTTTTCTGTTGGATGTAAGTTTGTATACGAAGGTGATTTTAGTTTCTAAATGAGCACTTATATTCATTGATTATGTAATACTTTCAATCAACTGAACCCAGACCAAATTTGATTGTTGAGGGGACTCAATCTTTATAATTGTGGTTGAATTTTACTATTCCAAATATGTAAGATGTTATTTATAAATGTAGAATCTTCAATTGCTATTTTTATCGTACTCCTATTTTGGTAGATAGGAGTAACTGATGATATCCTTCGACTGCATGCTTCAAATGGGCCATCGAGTCAGTGAATATAAAAGAGTGATTGTGATTGAGAATCGCCCAAGACTTCATTATATTGAAGCCAAACAACTTTTCCTGATATGATACAAATAACTCTGGCTTGTTTATGCACCCAAGGGTGTGGCCTAGTGGTCAATGAAGTGGGTTGAGAACCATGAGGTTTCAGGTTCAAATCGCAGTTGAGACAAAAACATTAGGTAAATTTCTTTCCATCTGTCCTAGCCTTGGTGTACAGAGTTTCCTCCCACAACAATAGGTGCCAGATAACTCTGTCCACTAAGGCTAGAAGAAATGAGAAGAAATCACCTAGTGTTTTTTCTAGGTTGGGATTCGAACACGAGTCCTCAGGGTGCTCAACCCACTTCATTTACCACTAGGCCACACCCTTGGTTGTTGGTCGCTAATGCTTTACTATTATTATAGATTCGATTTTGTTAATGAACCAGAACGCGTCTCGACCAAACTCTAGCTTCTCTCCACTCCATTTTGCACGCCTTTTGGATATTTACTTTCCTATACTAAAATGTTCAAAATCTGATCAGGTTCATGATGTACACCACTTACCTCCATCATTCATGCCCTACCCCTACAGTCACCCTTGAAACAATTGGGTCTGGCATCATGAAAATATACCCTTCATGAGTAGTGATCCTGGAAATAGTATTTTTTGAGGTACATGTGAGTAAGAGTAGCTTACCATCTATCCATGCACCTACTTCATTTTATTTAAATATAGCAGTTGAGACAAAAACATTAGGTAAATTTCTTTCCATCTGTCCTAGCCTTGGTGTACAGAGTTTCCTCCCACAACAATAGGTACCAGATAACTCTGTCTACTAAGGCTAGAAGAAATGAGAAGAAATCACCTAGTGTTTTTTCTCTGTTGGGATTCGAACACGAGTCCTCAAGGTGCTCAATCCACTTCATTTACCACTAGGCCACACACTTGGTTGTTGGTCTCTAATGCTTTACTATTATTATAGATTCGATTTTGTTAATGAACCAGAACGCGTCTCGACTAAACTCTAGCTTCTCTCCACTCCATTTTGCACGCCTTTTGGATATTTACTTTCCTATACTAAAATGTTCAAAATCTGATCAGGTTCATGATGTACACCACTTGCCTCCATCATTCATGCCCTACCCCTACAGTCACCCTTGAAACAATTGGGTCTGGCATCATGAAAATATTACCCTTCATGAGTAGTGATCCTGGAAATAGTATTTTTTGAGGTACATGTGAGTAAGAGTAGCTTATCATCTATACATGCACCTACTTCATTTCATTTAAATCTTATATTTATTTCTGCATGGATTGGTATGCTTTTACCAAACAAAACTGCTCTGTATTAAGAAGCAAGTCATCCAGGGTTGCTATATTTAAGTGTGATGATTTGTGAGATAAGATCAGGTTTTTGACTCAAAGTTCATGAGTATGAAAATTCAACATATGTTTTAGGTTGTATTGAACTGTGTTTATTGCCTTATTGAGATGAACATAGATATTTTTTTAACAAGTATCCAAAATTGTGTCCAGTGTCCTCTATGAAATCAAGTTGTGCAATCTCTTACCAATAGATTTACGAGAAAGTAATATGTATAATGACGCCTGATTCTTCTCCAAGCAGGCAGTCTCCACTAAATTTAACTCGATAACATTGCACAAAGGAGTATGTCGTATAGTAATCAAATAACTGATTCAGAAGCGGAACAAAGAAGCCAAGATGTTCAACCGGAGCCTTATGCTTTCTACAGGAGCTTAGCAACCTTTCAGCAGCCTAATGTCCATGCAATATTACCAGCTCCTGGAAATGCTGGTAATTTCTATTTGCACCATCCACAGTACCATCAAGAAGGTGCATTAGTTTATGGAAAGTTGCAGTATGATGGGGTTCAATATCAGCATCCTGCCACCAATCTTGACCCAGCCATTGCTTCATCGTCAAATCACTATAACCATTACATGGCTGCTCCATCCGCTCCTAGAGATTTCCCCATTCCAGTAAACCACGGGCAACATGAGCAGCTTCCATTTGCAAGCACTCAAGGCAACCTTGGAGTTAATGAAGGCAGTTATGGAAGGAACAATCCTTATGTAGATGGTGTTGGAGGCTCGTTTAAGAGAAAGAATGCTGAAGGGATCCCTGTGAACTTTCAGTATCAACATGCTTTGGCAGGCTCCAGCTTTCCTCTTGCCTCAATGAGTGCTGCGTCTTTTGTACCACCTGAATACAGAGGGAATGGCTCATTATCATTCACCGAGGATGGAGCACCGAGAGGTATGAACAATCATCAGCCTCAAGGGAACTATGTCGGCCAAACCTGTGAATTTCCTGGCAATTTTTGGTCAGGCTTGCAGTTCAACAGCAGTGCTAGGGAGAGTGAAACATGGGCCTGGAATCATAGTTCTCGTCTACCTTATCTACCTGGTACACTCTACTCATTTTTTATTTGACTTCTAGGGATTTATTATAACCTATATCGCTTCGTTGCTAAGGGATCCAGAGATGAGTTTCTGTTTCTTTCCTTAATGATAAATTCTTGCTTTTTGACTATCCATTTTATTTTATTTATTTGCCTAATTTGCAGAAAACTTGTTTCATAGGATAGAAGAGTTTCCTTGCATCTTCAATCACAAGACATTGTCAACATTCCTCCTCTAGAAGCTAACCCAAATTTATCCAAAAATGAGAGATATTGATGCGCAAGTTCAGTTATAGAGGGCTGGACGAACTGTTAATATTAGGGCTCAAAGTTTGGAGAGATTGTTCCTAATTTTTACAGTAAAAGCCTTGTTTTCTTACAAGGAGAAGACAAGGAACACCCCACCCCCACGGCCCACCCTCCAGCTTTCTCCTGAATTTATACAACTTCTGGGGAATTTTGCCACACTTCTCCTTTTTCAGTCATGAATGTCTTTCCCTATTTTTGTTCCTTTTGCCCAGAAAAGGAAAAAAAAAAAGAAGCAAAAAGTTGCTCAGCTAAAAACAGAGAATACTTCCTATTCTTCTCTTCATTTAATGTTCATCAAAGTCGGTGCTCTTTTAAGTTTTGTTCTAATATGTGCTACTGCTGTGTCACCTAGTTGAAAGGTGCATATTTGAACTTTCCTTCTGCAATCGTATATGTTAAAAGGATGTATTTACGGGAAACAAATCTTATTCTTTCCTTCTCCATCCCCACGTTCTCTTCCAAAGCTCATCTCATATTTATTCTACGTGCTAAAAGTTAACTTTGTTTAGCGTGGAATTATTATAAAAGATTCGTGTAGCTATTCAACGAGTTTGGGATTGATGTAGAGTTGATTTAATTGATTTAAAGTTTAACATTGAGAAATGATTGCATCTCTCTCCTATACTTTATACGTCTTTCGGACAGTTTTTTAGCCCTTCCTTAAATCTTCAAGGGAAACTTTAGGTCTTTGTAGCGCCACATGTTAACTTCCTAAACTGATTGCATGTCTCTTCTGCTTTTTTCCCATTACTTTAGGTGATACTCAAGGCTGTGAAGATGGTGGAAACATCAGTGTGCGAGGTTATCAAGTAACAAACGGGAATGGAGGTTTGACTAGTTTTGTATATCCATCCATTCCTCAAGGGCACCCAAACATTCGTCATCTACCACCACATATTCAAGGAGTGAGACCCCAATTTATCACTCTCCCTCCACAAATGACTGCTTCTTCACACAGACACCTACCAAGTAGCTCGTTTGACAGCACTATCAATCCATTTGCCCTTGTAGAGGCAGGGTCTAGATATATTAGACCATTCCCACCGACTGCCTTTAGATTGTACAGACCTCAGCGAGGGGAATTCATGCTTGGAACAAATACTAGACTTCACAACCTACCTAACATGAGAGTTCTTCCGGAGGATGTAAATATGCTTCTGTTTTACCAGAACTTTTCACATTTATGGTCTAATTTAATGCAGTAGAAGTTATGGAATCAGGATAACGGTTTATTCTTATTTGGTGGTTGTATGTAGGGTGTGGCAATGCTGGATATTCCTGGCTATCATGAAGTGCGTGATTCTGTTGATCAGCACAGGGAGATGCGAATGGACGTAGATCACATGTCTTATGAGGTAGGAAGATAGAAGGTTCCTCAGTTGTATGTACTGGTTTGTATTTGTCATGATGGTTAACGAGTATATGCTACTTCTCCATTTTCCTTTTTTCGTAAGTTATATACTCCCTCCATTTCAATTTGTTTGTCTTACTTTCCTTTTTTAGTCTGTTTCAAAAAGAATGCCCCTTACCTTTTTTGGCAACTCCTTAATTTCAACTTTCCACATGACATGTTTAAGAGCGCAAGATTAAAGTACATTTCGGTATTTCTACGTATCTTTTAGTTTAAGACGACAATATTCGAAAGTTTTCTTTATTTTCTTCAACTCCGTGCCAAGTCAAAATACAGGCAAACAAATTGAAACGGAGGGAATACTACTTTATTAATGTTCAGGTAGCAACTTATTGTTGTAACTTTTGGAAACTAATTTTGTTCCTCTTTAAAATCCTACTCCAGGAGCTTCTTGCATTGGGAGAGCAGATTGGCACTGCAAAAACTGGGTTATCGGAGGAGGTTATTGTTGGCCATTTGAAAACAAGATCATTTTCCTCTGTAGAAATTCCTTGCAATTTTGGAAGTGCTGCATGTTTAGATCACAAGACTGATTTTTGTGTCATATGCCAGGTATTTACCTCTATGCTGACTTACGGTTGACATGGGAAATATTTGAATACATTTTTCCAGAGGTGTCATTAATTACTCAACTTGTGACTTGATTCCAGGAACTTTTGATGATTCCCGTAGCTTATTGAGTAAAATTTAGTTTTTCAAATTCATTAAGCACACCACTGGTATTTATGTTGCCATTGCCTTCCTAAAAATAAGGGAGCCTTGACGTAGGTCGTGAAGTTACTGCCATGTGGTCTCATTTGAACCGTGGAAACAGCCTCTTGCAGAAATGTAGGGTAAGGTTGCGTATAATAGACCCTTGAGGTCCTGCCCTTCCCCGGATTCCCTGCATAGAGGGAGCTTAGTGCACCGGGCTGCCCTTTTTATTGCGTTACTAAATCTTTGCAAGGCATCCATACTTCAGAAGTTGGATAAATTTACTATTTCTGGCCTATGTCTATTTCTTCAAAGGTGAGCGTCGTACTTGTTTACCGTGTTTGTGTCGTGATATGGTGTTAGTTCACAAGCTTCGCTATTCATCCAAGTTGCATTCTTTTTGTTGCTCCTTTCCCCCCATCAAAAAGTATCTCTGATTGCCTGCGTTTATATACTTTGTTTCAGTCTGATTACAAGGACCAAGAGAATGTGGGGACTCTCGATTGTGGGCATGAATATCATGCAGAGTGCGTAACAAATTGGTTGATTCTGAAGAACAATTGTCCCATATGCAAGTCCACAGCATTGTGCGCAGAGGGAAAGGATTCCTGAAAACAGGCGATACATGATCTCGCCTGAATGAATTAAAGAGCAAACATTCTGGATCTGTTGCTAAATATTTATGCTCCGATGAGTAGGAAACGTTACTGAAACTGTACAAATGTACTGTATTTTTGTATATATATTCGGCATGTTATGACTGACTGTCAACATGTCCAAAAACAACTTGTTGGCCTTATCTATGCCATGTGAAGTTGTACAGAAACTTGTAGTTTTTTTTGGTCTGTCTCCTGTAGTTGTACTTACTACAGACCTCTTAATGGGCATTTTATCCCCTTTCAGACAATTACTCTCTGGTTATTTTGTTGATGTGTTCTTGTGTAATGGTTTTTCTTGTTACTGCTGATGCAAAAGGTTGCCTTTGAAGTTTATTTTGGTATAGTTTTTCGGAAAAAACACTAGGTGATTTCTTTTTACGTCCCCCAACCTTGGTGAATTGAGTTATTCAATACTTGTATGGTGGATTGAGTTATTCAGTAATTGTGTTGGTGAGAGGTTGTACGTACCTTGTGAAAAGAGGTGCATGCGAATTGTCCCATGTTGCTTGGTTCTTTCAAAAATACTGTTGCATACTTGTTGGATTTTTGGAAAGTTCAAGCAATATAGACTTCAATTATAAAAAGAAAATAGTGTATTCCTACCATTTTGGTCTCATTTTTGGAGTAGCATATATTTGTTTATTTTTGGAGCTAATTGTTCTGCACTAAATAATTATCAAAAAAGGAAAAAAAGTTATGTGAAGGTAGAAATGGAATCAAAACTTGGAGTTTATGTATTCAGAACTTGTTATTTGAAATCATAATTTGTTTAAATTGTTGTGTTCATAACTAAAAAAGTACATTTGGACATATAATATTAACACATGTCTATTTATTAACTAATTTATTTTTCTATTCCTCCATTTTGGTTTTTATTTTTATTTTCGTATATAATTAATAATAGAATTATCAAATCAATTCTAATCACGATTGATACAACCAAATCGATAAATATATAATACTATATAAATATATTTAGTTTTAATCGATAAATGATCCAAATCGACTCACACTAATACCTTGTTTGGATGACTGTTACTCATTGTATTGTTAGTTAAAATATAATGTTTGTATTGATTGTTACTTAAATTCTATTGTATCGTATCGTTTAAATTCATTATTAGGTAACAACCGATTTAGTATGATTACATCGTTACATTAATATTTTCTTCTCATTTTATCTTTATTTATTATTTAATAATTATATCTCATCTTTTACCTTATTTTTCATAGTTATTCTACTTGTACCCTACTTTTTTCTTTTTTCTTTTATAGGGGAATTAGCCAACTTGCACGATTGAACTCTTTTTTTTTAGAACTCGAGAGAAATTTGACTTTCCTACTAGAAGTGATGCCATGCTGTTCTAAACCTTACTTACGTCCTCCGATAAATTTATCATTCAAATTATTAATATGTAAGACAAAAACATAAAATCTATCCAAACATTATATTAATTAAAACTATAAAACATATGCCATACTATATATATTATGAAATAATAATAGTTACAACCATCCAAATCTTCCCTTTCTTCTTCCTTTAACCTCCGTTCACTTTTCCTAAACCCTAGCCTTTCCCCGGTGCACTTTCTCCTATTCTCTCCTCCAATGGCGGATGCTACTGACGACATCGACAAGCTCTACGAGTTTGGTGAACGTCTCAACGACGCAAAGGACAAGTCTGAGGTCAGTACTTTCCTCAACTTCACTGTATTTTTTTCGTTTTTTTTTTTTTTTTTGTGTTGTTAGGGTTTATGGAAGGTTACGGTAAGCATGTTTTGATTTTATTTAGTTTGGTTAAACAGCATAGGCAGGACTATGAAGGAATTATTGCGGCAGCGAATGGAAGTGTGAAGGCTAAACAACTTGCTGCGCAGCTTATCCCTAAGTTTGTTAAGTTTTTCCCTGAGTTAGCGGAGCAGGCACTTGATCAGCACTTAAATTTAATTGAAGATCACGAGCTTGGGGTTAGTATTCGATTCAATATATGCGTGTTTGTTTTAACATTGAATAGATTATAGCGTATTAACTATTCAATGCGGCTTAATAACATTTAGTCAGCCAAAAGACTGTATTTTTTTTTTTTTTTTTGTAATAACAGTGGTGTCAACTTGTGTTCACCTAGACTAAAAGCTTGCTTGTCCAAGCTTTTGGGAGGCCACAAGGCTGTATTTTTTGTATTTTTTTTCGTAGCAGTGGTTTGGGGACAGTTTGCGTTCATCTAGACTAATAATCTGTTTGTCCAAGCTTTTGGGAGGCCAAAAGTGCTTATTTAAAAAGGGGAGGTTTTTGATCAAGGTTTTGAGGGAAAATAAGTGCTTATGAGTTATGGGAACCAAAAACAAAGTATCTTTTGCTCAATTTTTTTTTTTGAGAATCACTTTTGAGAAAATACACTTAAGAAGCACTTTTAACAAGCTTGATCTAACACTAATTGTTGCTCGAAAGTGCTTTTTAAATTGATTGTCCAAACACAAATGGTTTCTCACTAAAGTACTTTTGCGATTTTAGAAGCTCGGCCTGATAAGCTATAATTCCTTGGGGTATCTACTGCCTCTTACTAGCACATGTATCAATTTTGGATCTTAAGACCTCATGGTACTCAATTCATTGACCACTAGGCTGCATTCTTGGGCGCTCAACATTTTGGCTGTATTATCAACATCTTACTTCGATACTAATTGGTCAGGTCATTGCTGATCAGTCAATCCGATGAGTTAAAATTTTATTAGAACAAAAACAGTTTCAAGTTGATACTGCTAAAGTACAAAGATAATTTTTTTTAAGGATAGTAACAGTAAAGTATAAAGATAATACTGGCTAAACAACTTTAGAAACCCAAGTACTCAAGCATGAACGACATGTTTTGTATGCTAAATACAACATTTACATCTCCCCAATAGTACAAATAACCTAAACAACTATATTTCATAAACTGAATTTGCTCTTGTTACTTCCAAAACATCTCTTATTTCTTTCTTTCCATATAGTCCAGGCTATGGTAAGACCGTAAGAGGGATGGCTCTCAAAATTCCTTTTTTGGTACACTTCTGGGCAGGCAGTTTTCCAACACACTAACAAATTCTTGAACTTCATAGGACTTGTCCAAGAAATGCCAAAGTTAGCCATAAATATGGACCACACCTGCGAAGTAAATTCATATGATCCACAGATTCACAAGATTTCTCTCATAAATAGCATCTGCTACACATGATCAACTTCTTCTCATCAGGTTTTCATGATTTAGACATGGTTCGTGAGACATTATGACATTGCCTTGAGGTGCTCTACAGGCCATTTAAACTTTTAAAACCTTTTAGGGTGTTTTGACTTATTCAAACACTGTTTTTTGTGCAACTTAGTGTTTATTCATATCTCAAGTAGAAACAATGGCGGATGCATGATTTGGACCATATGGTGCCCCATTACCTTTGGTGTAGAGCTACCACTAGTCACATGTCTAAGTAAGTGTTTGTATCTGGTGGGCATTTGGTTTTGTGTCTTTGGATTTCTGCTCTTTGATTGAAAATTCTCTTGAAACTTTCAGTTCTTTGATGGACAAATCTACAGCAAACTAACATACTTGAACTTTTGACTAAAATATAAACTATATTCACAAAAAGAAAAGTTCTTACCATTAAAAGGTCTCACAAAGTTTCTCGGCTAGCGCAAGACTCGAACAACAAGGCCTTGAAGTATATCACCTAAATATTTAGAGTTCAACTTGAATTACATAAAACAACAAGCTAACTTCAATTCATAAAAATGTCCAAGTTTTATGTTCAAATAGCAAAACTTGACTAGCTTTTCCTTTTAAAAAACGTAACCAAAAAAAGAAAAATATGTATTAAATTTTGAATAGGAAACAATTGTGTAAAGTTAAAATATAATGAGCGTACAATCAAATTTGCAAGGAAAGCACAAGCTAATGTGGAAATTAGAAAGAATTAACTTCAGAATCAACAAAGACGATGGTACTGGAAAGGTTTTTGTCGATTGAGGTATGAATTAGAGAAAGAGAGAAGATTACAGGAGAGAAGGATGAAAGTAATTGTAGGGGGTTACTTGGTGATTTATGGAAGAAGATTTAGCAGAATCTTCTCTTTCCAAAAATTAAGATTTGTGGGGACCTTCTATAGGGAGAATTTAAAATAGAGTAGTTTGTCAAGAAAGAGGAAAAAGATCCAAGTGCTTTAAGTTGCACGGACTCTTCACTTTCAATGCTGCACCCGTGTCGGATTCTCCAAAAATACACTACTTTTGGAGAATCCGACACGCACCCGTTGACATTTTTGAAAAGTCTGAGCAACATAGCAAGTGCTGGACCAAGGGGTTTTGAACTCCTACCAGTACGTAGTTGAGTATCTCCACTACAAAACCCAAACCAGGGCACCTGAACTTGCTATGGCTGCACACCCATAGTATAACAATGTTTTCTGGAAAATATGAGCTGCTTTAGAGAGTCCTAGCTAGGTTATCATTGGTGCACGTGCACTTCCACCTTCTATGTTGATCCACCAATGAATAGAAAAGTTAATAGATATGACTCTTTGATTTTTTAACTAGAAGATATTAATTATTCTGTTCCAAATCATTCGTGTAGCCATTCTACTACATACTAAGAGACATACCTGGTGTATATATCTAGCCAACTTTATTAGGTTGCTTGCCGAAGGAAAATAACTGTTGTCACTTGTCTCAGAGGAATGCTACGTTGCATTACGGTGGGTTAGTCCTCATTATTATCTAATAGAAATTGTCAGAAAATATATGGAATTACAGTATTGCTTATTATTAGTAAAGAAGTTGGTATATTTCACAACTAGGTTTGGGTTTAACCATGTGTAATCAACTAAATTTTGTACCCTTCTTTTATTGATTTCCAGGTCCGTGTACAAGCGATCCGTGGACTTCCGCTTTTCTGCAAAGATACACCTGAGCAGTTGACTAAAATTGTTGACATTCTTGGTCAGCTCCTCATTGCAGGTAGTTTTGTGTTCAATGGCTTGTGAAGTTGGTTGGTTTGCATCATTTCTTGATATTGATACAATTTATTCCAATTGTGTCAGGAGAAAATGTAGAGCGTGATGCTGTACACAAGGCTCTTATGACCGTGTTACGTCAGGATGTGAAGAGTACGTTTCTGTTCCTGAAGTTTAGTTATTATATCACCGACTCCCCAAAACCGTAGAAGTCTAAGAATATTGTGGTCAATCATTCCACTTATACATCTATTATTAGTAGCATAATTGAGGTTTCTGCCTGATTATTCATCGCAATTATCCTTGTTTTGTAACAATT